TTTGGGAATGAAAAAAATTGATTTTGTTATTTTTGGTTTAAAAAGTAGAAAGAAAGACGACGGGTTTAATCTACAGAAGAAGGGTAGAGTCGTTGGGTGGCTTTCTATTAAAATCAGTTCATAGAGGGTAGGTTCGTACGTAATTACTTGAGCTAAAGAGGGCTAGAATCGTCATTTTGCCATTTACGATTTCTAATTTTCCCTCCACAAAGTATTTCCAAATTAAAAATTATACGTATACCCAACAAATTGGGGGAAGATAATCCAATTAGGGTTTTTTATTTTTTTTATTTTTTTTATTTTTTATTTTATTTTTGTTAGCTAATGTCTTCTAATTTTAATTTATAGTATTTTTCTACCAACAAATATACTTCAAAATTAATTTAAATAAATTTTAAAAAAAATTAACCTTCAACCTTAAACAACCAATATAATAAATATTGTGTCTGAAAATAAAAAACATGAAAAACAATGCACAATTAAATTTATTTATTTATTTTTAGAGTATAAAATTATAATCTCGTTTTGGAGGTTATTAGTTCCTTTAAAAGTTAGCTGGTGTCTTTTTTTTTTTTTTTTCCTAATAAAAATAAATATATAATTATTGAGATTTTATATTTACGAAAGTGTGGTATAAAATTAGCTCGAACATGTATATGTTACTATTGAATATTGTTCGTATAGAACCATAAGTACCATAAGGCTAAAGGTTGGAATATTTTGATAAAGAGTTTTTAGGGCTAGGTTTTTCAACCGCTCATGGATAATTGGGAATATTAGGGCTATACCCTAAAAGCGTGAATAATTTTTAACGTATAAAGTCAAAATAAAGCAAGTAAAATCAATATATTTTTAGATCTCGGATATTGTTGTTGCTTTGTCTTCGAAAAAAGAAGTTCATAACCCGTAGTTTCTACCTTCACGTGGCACTACGTCAACCTTTTGCCCATTACAAGTACTGATTTCAGATCAATTTCGCAACCGCTTCACTTCATTAATTTTTAATTTTAAAATTTTATGCTCATGTTCTTTTTAAAAAATTCGAAATTGAAAAAAAAAATTAAATACATTGTTAAATAACCATTTGAATTTCTTTATTTTATTAAATACATTGTTTTTAAAATTTGGGTTTGATTATAATTAAATATTTTTTAGAGTCAAAATTATTCGTTTATAGAAAAACCCATTATAGTTTTTATTGTAAATCACAAAATTAAGTATATTCCCACAAAATTAAACCAGGGGGATTTTACAAAATGCGCCAAACTGGTGGCGGGGTGGTGCTGCTATACAAGAACCGCCATCCTTTACAGCGGAGGAAAGCTGGGTTCACGGCGGCGATGGCGGGTGAGAGGAGGAGCTGCCGGCCTCGACGAGAATGGACCAAAGCATCTGGACATCTTCACAAGGGCAAGACTTGACATCTTTATACAAAATGTAGATCCCTTTCCCTACATCCAAAAACAGCAAAACTTCATCGGAGTTAGACGGCGGCGGCCGGTGATAATTCCGACCAAACAAAAGAGAGATGATGATGATGATGGAATTGGAATGGTTACGGTTTCTATGAGGGGAGTGCAGACGAACCCAGAGCTTCTTCAATGGCGAAACGAGAAGCGATCTGAACCATCCCATTTGAACGAACAAGATTTGGCGCAATTATTAATGCCACAGTGGCTGTGAAATCATCAACCTCCCAATGTTTGGTTCATAGTTGGTGAAGAAGGTGAGAAGGAAAAAAGCTAGAGAGCCTTAAAAACTTTAATTTGTTTGCTTCTTATCAAACATATACATATATATACACACACACGCGAGTTTTATTATTCAATTGAATATGGTGACATTTTAAATCAATGTAAAAAAATATTATAATATATATATATACACACTCACGTGTGTATATATATATAGAGTTAATTATAGTATATTTTATTCTGAAATTTCTAATAAATCTTTAACAGGTTTTTATCGTATTCAAAAAAATTTAAATTTATGAATATTTATTAAAAATTTATTATACGTTTTTTATTTTTATTTTTTATTTATGGGTCTATTTTACTGATTAGGAAAAAAAAAAAACAATTGAATTTTTTCATAATTGAATTTTACTCTTATTTATGAAGATTCGGAAAAAAATAATTATGCTATATGTAAATTATTGAATGTTATTAATATGAGACTTACTTATAATAAAAGTTTGATGTATTAATTGAATAAATTATGACACGGGTAGACCAATGTATATAAATATTCTATAAGTGGGACTTTGATTAAATTAAATCAATTGAACTATGCTTCAGTTATAGAAATTATTAATGATTTTTTTATATTAAAAATAATATATTAAATTCTAAAAACTTTTTGTATAAGCGATATTATAAATTGATTCTTGTAGGAAAATCAACCACGTCATGAAAGAAGTGGGAGAGGATGGAACCAATAATTTAGGTCATATATTAAATGTGTATGGTGTATTATTGCAATTATAACAACTAAAATGGTATATATTAATTAAAATAATTATGTTACATAAATTGTTTATAAAGTTAATATTGGTGGTAAGATTCATGTTCCTGGAACGATGGGTGGTGCGTGTCTACGTCAAGCATTTTTATATTTAACACGTGTCATCAGTTTTTTTTTAATATTAAATTGAAATTAAAAAAAAAAAAAAACATAACGTCTAGGAAATTAAATTTTTTGGTAACACAATTGTTTCAAGTAGAGATGTCTATTTAATTCATGGGGTCGTGGTCCTGTAAGGATGGAGATTCCCTGTTTCCGCCCAATTTTCAATAACACAAATTAATAATTTATATTGATTTTTTTTTTTTTAATTTTCACCTCAATTCCTACAAAAAAAAAAAAAAAAAAAAAAAAAAAAAAAAAAAATTNTTTTTTAATTTTCACCTCAATTCCTACAAAAAAAAAAAAAATAAATAAATAAATAAATAAAAATTTTTGGGACCAAAAGGTTTCTTGTTTCGTTAATCTTCTAGAACATCAATAAAAATTTGCCTACTCTTATCTTGTTATCATATATATGACGCAACAATCTTGAATGTTTTATTTCTAAAAATATAACTTTGACTCTTTAATTATTTATTTATTTTAAAATATTGAGAGTTAACAATTCCAGCTCGTTTTCTTTAGTAATAAGAGAGGAGATAATATCGAATTAACATATATTCTCGTCACTTTTCTTTAATAAATAAAATTATGAAAATGACCTTACAACAAAACGGTCGTGAAATTGAAACATATTACCAAAAAAACGTTCATATAGCAAAAATCTAACGTCTCTTTAGGTGTCAAAAATTTAGTAAAAATAGCATTAGAGTTTCACGTTCGAGTCAACACGATGCATAAAGAAGTCTTTTACCAAAATACCCCTTGCAATTTTGCACTCTAAATATTATTTTTCTTTCTAATTATTTCTGACAATGACATGCATTCTTGCAAGAAAAACATGCATAATTTTTGGTGTTCTGTCTTCATCAAGGATCTCTCTATCTAAGCCCAATTTTGTATAAAAAAAAACAAACATTTATTTTTATATCTAAAATATCAACTTGAGTGTAGCTCAATTAATCAAATATTTATTATCATTTAAAAAATTCACCGTAATTATGGAACTGAAAAAACATTCACATATTTTAATAAATATTTTTGTAAAAATTAGACTTTAATATTTATATCAACGTCCAAATATTTAGTAATAAAAAGTCGTTAGGGTAGTTATATTTTATTTGTAATTAATGATCTAATATAGGAATTGCATGAATGAAATTAAAGAAAAGAACATATTTTATATTTTAATATATGATCAATATGTTGGTCTTTACTCATACTTTTCATTTACTTGTGTTTTAAGTTAAAAAAGATTTGAAATTTGAACTAAAAGTTTAATAATAATCTTAAGGTGGGATATGCATGTAGCTTCACATTGAAGAGTTTTGGTTGTGCTTCAAAATAATTAATTTATTTCAATTTAATGGGAAGACCCAAATTTTCAAAGAAGGCTAAACCATTCTATATGGATATTAATTTTTAGGGTATAGTCTAACCTTTTAATATAATAAAAGTTTTTATATTAAAAAAAAAACGTCCATAATTATATGACTTATTACTCGTGAAAATATTATTTTTATAAAAATTATAGTTGAGCTATGTTCAAATTGATGTAAATTAATAATATTTTTTTCTGTTGCTATTAATTAATTAATTAATATATTTGATACTTATTAAACACTATTTGAATAAAGGTTTGAAATTATTAGATTTTTTTTTTCAAATAATGGAATAAAGATTCTCTAAATCTTAAAAGTTATTATATATTAAAGAAGGAAACTATAAAAGTCAAAATTATAAATAATGATGGGTTTTAAATATTTGAGCAAATTTTTTCATAATTTATGGTATTGAATCATCGGGCCACTCTATTTATAAGGCTATTCGACTCTCCTCGAGCCATGTTCCTACGTCGGTTAGAAAGAGGAATGAAACATTCCTTATAAGAGTGAAAACAAAACATGTTGGAATGACTCATGTTGGTTTGTGGGGTCAGTCTTTACTCTCAGAAGCGAGTAAATAACATGACCATGTCATAGAGAGAGAATGCCGGGACCACCATGGGCCGAATCCGAATTTCGAATCCTTGGCATGAGTCCTACCGTGCATAACTTAACTGATTAAAAGGCATACTCTCGACTAAAAGATTAAACGTTCAAAACGACCAAAAAGTTCAAAAGTTCGAATTCAAGAATTATATCTAATGTAACAGCCCAAGCCCAACATTAGTAAATATTATCCGCTTTGACTTGTTATGTATTCTCGTCAGCCTCACAGTTCCCCTCTCCAATAGGTGTGAGATCTCACGTCTAATGTTACATAGAAGTCTAATAGCTACCTGTTTCGAGACTTTACAGGCTAATCCAAGTAGTAAGCACCTATATTCCAGACAGACATCATTGATATGCGATATCCAAGGTATATTGATTAGCAGACATTTTTTTGAAACTACCATAAATAGTTATAAAATACAAGATTATCATTACCTAAGGTATATTGATTGCGAGGATTAGACGTTCGGATCGGCCATTAGTCTTCGTGGTTCGACAAGATTCTCGAGGCTAGCAACCGGAAACAAGAACCATCATACTAAACTGCAGAGGTTGAGTCCGTGCCTGATGGCAGTTATGCTGTAGTGAAGTCCCATACAACCCGAAAAATTTACGACCTCGTCGTAACGAGAACCCAAATCCGTCCGAGATTCAAGAACAAGGCCATTTCTCATCCCAATTAGACAGGTTTCATTTTACCTTTTACGACAGTCATGTCGACATTTTGCAGTCATCTCTCGAGTAGCCTATCATGTCGTTGCGTTGACCACAGAATTTTACGTGTCTGTAAGTGACATAACAACACTGTCTTCACAGTTGCTCAGTAGTAGATTTGTCTGTCACAGAACAATAAATCAATTCAACAATAATGTCCATGGGAAGCCACATCACCAAAAATCGTTACACGAGCAAGCGCCATTCTTAAAATGGTGAAATCTATGAACATCACGAACAACTATTTCCCGATTTGTGATACTCGATATAAGCTTCATGACATCATGACAATCTCCACAAATACGTAGATTTTTCAATATACGAATTTTTTTCCTCGTGTTGGTACTTATAAGTGCAAAAGCAACGGCCAATCTTTCGCTATGATATCGAAGATTTTCCCTTTTTTCGGGTTCTCCAACGTTATGAAGCACGTATCGAGTTTCGGGCACATAACCTATAGAGGTCAATTCTCTATCAAGCTCCTCTAGCTTTACATGTATTTCCTGAATTTGTGGATGTGAACAATCATGAGCCACAAATGTATGAGCTTGACCATTAGCCTCAACCCAGCTACACCCTGGCTCCTTTTTAATACCTTTACGAGCCATCAAAGTTCGAACTCTTTCGACATCGTCCCACCTTCCTTTTATCGCAAAAATATTCGAGAGTAATATATAATTCGTCTCCTTCTCGGGTTGAAGCTTAAAGAGTTCGTTAGCAGCTTTCTCACCGAGTTCTAAATGGCCGTGCATTTTGCTAGCTCCAAGAACAGTCTCCCAAATAAGTGCATGTTGTGATAGTTTCATTTCTCGAATGAACTCTTCAAGCTCGTCGAATTTTCCGACCCGCCCGAGAATATCGACCATACAAGCACAGTGGTCAACCGTAGGAGAAATACCGAAATCTCGGTACATCGAGTTAAAACGTTCTTTCCCTTCTTGAACTAATCCTTGGTGACTACAAGCTGAAAGAATGCCTATGAAGGTCACCTCATCAGGCCATATGCCTTCATCTAACATAACCTTAAAGGCCTCGAGAGCTTTATGGCCTTGCCCATTTTGTGCATAGCCACATATAATGGTGTTCCATGACACTGTGTCACGCCAAACCAAACCTTCAAATAGCGCCTCAGCTTCTTCCATACAGCCACATTTTGTGTACATATCAACAAGGGCACTACCAACAAACATATCACTTGAATGTCCACTCTTAAAAGCCATGGCATGAAGCTGTTGTCCACCTTCTAGAGACGCCAAAGACGAGCAACCGCTCAAACAGCCAGCGAGCGTGAACTCGTTCGGCTTTACACCTTCTCGTTGCATTTGTCTAAAGTAATTAAGAGCCTTCTCTCCCTCGTTCGCTTGTGCATGATTCGTAATGATAACCGTCCAAGTAAAAAGATCCCTACCGTTTAACCTGTTGAAAGCTATATCAGCGTCTTCCAAACGCATACACTTTGCATACATATCGATCAAAGCCGTTTGAACAAAATCGTTATCAACCAAACGAGCTTTGATTATATGACTATGCACTTGCCTCCCAAAGTGCGCATCTAAAACACAAGAACATGATCTTAAAACACTAATGAAAGTATACATGTTCGGGATAAAACCTTCCTCTAACATGTCATGAAAGATGGTTACCGAACGATCGTACATTCCGAGCTCATGAAACCCAGATAAATACGTATTCCACGAAACCAAATCTCGGTCGACCATAGATTCGAACAAGCTAACACCCTCATGAACACATCCATTTTTCATGTACATTGTGACCAATGCATTGGTAACAGAGACATCAGTTTCAAATTCATATTTCCATGCACAAGCATGGATGCTTCGGCCATATTGCAAGTCTCCCGTGTTCGTAGCAGCGCTTATAAGGCTGCAAATCGTGTACTGATTCGGGACAATACCGCTCGATCTCATTAACCGAAACAACTTAATCGATTCCTCGCTTTGTCCTTGCTGATCAAGGCATGTAATCATGGCACTCCAAGCCACCATATCAGGCTTTTTGATGTTCTTAAACACTTCTAATGCATCAATGGCAAGCCCACACTTTGAGTACATATCAACCAAACCACAGCCTAAGAATTCATCGCCTTCATACCCAAATTTGATAATCAACGAATGGATTACCTGCCCATGTCTTAAGTTCTTGGAGTTTGCACAACCCTTAAGAACAGTAGTTAAAGTGAACTTACTACAGTTCATATCCATTTTCATCATACCACAAAACAATTTCAAGACTCCTATCCCGTCGCCCCTTTGAGCGTAACCATTGAGTAGCACGTTCCATGTCACGTCGTTTTGCTCGGGCATGCCAATGAACATTCTAGATGCAAGTTCTATATCACCACATTTAGCATAAAGGTCAACAAGTGCAGATCCAACAAACAAATCTAGTAATAATCCAAGTTTAAAAGCTTGAGCATGCATTTGCTTTCCAAGATCTAAGGCCATACACAAAGAACATGCTTTTAATCCAGTAGCTAGAGTGAACTCATTAGGCATGATTCCTTCATTTTGCATCTCCTGAAATAAATAAATACTATCATTAGCAAATCCTTCTGCTACAAGACCTTGAATTAACGCCGTCCAAGAAACGACATCACGATTAGGCATTTTAGCAAGTACTAACCGAGCGTATGCGGAGTATCTACACTTTGCATATACGTTCACTAACGAAACCCACAAATGGGAATCTGGATTAATTACATCTTTCACGATAAGTCCATGAATGGCTTTTGCAACACTCAAAGATCGTTTTGATGCACATTCATGTAACATCCATGAATAATACTTTAACTTCTCCTTGCTACTCGAACGAACTCGATTTTCCATATGATCTTGAGTCTTTTGGTGTTCGAATTTATATCCATATGGGGAAGTTTGAACTGCGTTGTTAAGTTCATGACCGAGTTGACCTTTTGACATTGAAATTCCAATAGAGTTGGAAGGATACCTGGGATCTTCTAGTTGTGGTTTGAAACTAGTTCGTCGAATGGGAAAGAACAACGATCTAGGAGTGTTTCGAAACTTGTTCGGGAATTGAGACGAACCGTGTAACCAACTCGATATCGACAAATTTTGAAACCCAATAGGTGAACCATGAATTCTCATAGCAATGAAGTTCCTCTCCATCGATTCAAACCAAAAGAATTACTCCTACAACAAAACCAAACATTTGAAATATCCATTTAAAGAAGACAACATGAAGTAGAGTGGCAGGTACAACATATAGAAGCAATTTGAAGTCGTTAAAACATCATGCTTCTCAATAACAGGTTTCATGAGCCTAAAGACCCCATACGTAACAAGGAACAAACTATATCAGTGCCAAAATAGATAGCAAGCAAAACAAACCTTCTTATTCTTGCCCTATGTAACGGCCCAAGCCCACCGCTAGCAGCGGTGTCTTCTTTGGATTTTTCCTTTCAGGTTTTCCTTCAAGATTTTTAAAACGCGTATACTAGGGAGAGGTTTCCACACCCTTATAAAGAATGGTTTGTTCTCCTCCCCAACCAATGTGGGATCTCACAACCCACCCTCCTTCGAGGCCCAGCGTCCTCGTTGGCACTCGTTCCCTTCACCAATCCACCCCACTTCGGGGCCTAGGGTCCTTGCTGGCACACCGCCTCGTGTCCACCCCCCTTCGAGGCTCAGCTTCCTTGCTGGCACATCGCTCGATGTCTGGCTCTGATACCATTTGTAATGTCCCAAGCCCACCGCTAGCAGATATTGTCGTCTTTGGGCTTTCCCTTTCAGGCTTCCCCTCAAGGCTTTTAAAATGTGTATGCTAGAGAGAGGTTTCCGCACCCTTAAAGAAGGGTTTGTTCTCCTCCCCAACCAATGTGGGATCTCATAATCCACCCTCCTTCAGGGCCTATCGTCCTTGTTGGCACTCGTTCTCTTCACCAATCAATGCGGGACCCCCCAATCCACCCCACTTCAGGGCCCAGCGTCCTTACTGGCACACCGCCTCGTGTCCACCCCCTTCGGAGTTCAACCTCCTCGCTGGCACATCGCCTAGTGTCTAGCTCTGATATCATTTGTAACGGCTCAAGCACACCGCTAGCAGATATTGTCCTCTTTGGACTTTCCCTTTCGGACTTCCCCTCAAGGTTTTTAAAACGTATTTTCTAGAGAAGTTTCTACACTCTTACAAAAAATGGTTTGTTCTCCACCCCAATGGATGTGAGATCTCTCCCAAATCCCCAACCATTCATTTAAACTATAATACTGAGAAAGAAAAAAAAGGGTAAAGAACACTTTATTGTAAGGTAAGAAGCAGTTCATTAATGGAAACAGCAAACATTCACATAGCGGCAGCAGTTTTCATGGTAATGAAAGCTTCAAACATCTCTAAGCAGAGGTAGAAGCTTACCTTCCTTGTTATAACTCCAAAAACCCAATAATGGGGTGTGACACCAAAAACAGTATTGTTTGTGGCCACTTGCTCCCTATACACCTCCACGGGAGTTCAAGAACTCTTTAGATACTTTAGCTCTGAAAGGAAGAAATGGGTAAGCTGTAAATGGTGAACTAAGTGGGAAAACTGTAGATTTAACCAAATAGATGTATTGCGAGAATCAAGAAACAAAAATGAATGAAATGAAAGATTTTAAAGTTTAAGCTCACCAGTGCCAGGAGTGTAAAAGATAAGAATGGGCGATGAAATTAGATGATGATAGGTTGAGAAATGAATGTAGAGAAGCGGTATTATCATTTGTTAACAATTTTTTCCCAAAAATAAAATAGGAAATTGGATGGATAATTAATTTTGTTGGTCATAGTTTTTTTTTTTTTTTTTTTAATTAGATGGTTAAAAGGGAAGTTTTCAAAGTTGACAAGCATAAATAAATAAATTATATTATTTGATCCGATTATTTAAATCATTTAACCCCTTTGTAAAAACAAAACAAATAACCTTCAAATAAATTATAATTCCTTAAAGTTCTCACCGGGTTAAAATACTGTAGTAGCGAGAAAGATCGTCCGAGGAATTGGCGGCAAAAGCGACGGAAGTGGTGGCTTGATTATAAATAAATTATAATTTATCATATATATTATATTTGATATTTTATTACAAGTCAAATATCTAATATTTGTTTTATTATATTTTTCCATTTATCTTATTTCCATATATTACTATTTCGATATGATTGTAATTTATTTAATTATAAATAAGATAACTTTCACACTATTTAGGTGTTGTGTTGTAGATTAATTAAACATTCTTGCTGCTGTCGCCGGACTGAAGAGAGCTGGTGTTACGACGGCGATCCGCCCAAAGAAAACTGATAACGATTGTTTAACTAATAAAGTGGGCTCGTTTAAACAATCACCAGCCGAATTCGGGCTTGAAAAGCCCAGATCTGACTGATAATGTGGGCTTCCTTAAAAGTTAACAGCGAAAATGGCCCAAATCAAATTAACAAAGTGGGCTTGTTTACCCATTTACCAGCGGGATGTGGGCTCAAACGGCCCAAATCAAACTAACAAACTGGGCTTGTTTACCCATTTACCAGCGGGATTTGGACTCAAACGGCCCAAATCAAACTAACAAATTGGGCTTGTTTACCCATTACCAGCGGGATTTTGGCTCAAATGGCCCAAATCAAACTAACAAACTGGCCTGTTTACCGATTTACCAGCGGGATTTGGGCTCAAACGGCCCAAATCAAACCAACAAACTGGGCTTGCTTACCGATTTCCCAGCGGGATTTGGGCTCAAACGGCCCAAATCAAACCAACAAACTGGGCTTGCTTACCGATTTCCCAGCGGGATTTGGGCTCAAACGGCCCAAATCAAACCAACTAACTGGGCTTGTTTACCCATTTACCAGCGGGATTTGGGCTCAAATAGCCCAACTCAAACTAACAAACTGGGCTTGTTTACTCCTTTACCAGCGGGATTTGGGCCCAAATGGCCCAGATTAAACTAACAAAATGGGCTTGTTTACTCATTTACCAGAGGGATTTGGGCTCAAATGGCCCAAATCAAACTAACAAAGTGGGCCTTTTTAAACTAGGTATTAATGCCATGGGCTGTAATTTGTCATAATTTATTTAAATCACTCTAAATTAACTATATTAAAAAATATATATATATATACCATATACAAATTGAAAATTTAATATTTCATCATACATAATATCCAAATTTATAATTAATAGATTAAATACTTTTTTATAAAATTAATTTATCTTAAATTTAAATAACCACAGAATTTAAATTTAAATTCATACCCTCACTAATACTCTTTATTTTTTTTAATTTAGTTTATTATGGTCTCATATTTGCTTTAAACAAAACAAAAAATACCCAAAATTTAAAATTATTTTCCAACATGTCAAGTTGTCCGAGTTCAAACGATCAATTTTGGTTATTCTATATGTCATAATTGATAGAAACACGTAAGTATAGAAATCTTTTAAATTTTAGACCCGCAACAACGAATTCAAAAGATGAACAAAAAAACATAGAACATGGGGAAGGAAAACACCAAAAGAGGAAGCACAATATCAAAATTATATGTTTTCCAAAGAGTATTTGGATGAGTTAGTTTGACCCGAAACAAATTTAAAAGGACACATAAAATGGGTATATGAGAGAATCCCTTCAACAAATTGAATGCCACATGACATGTTTGATATGGGAGAGACCCCACGTGGTTTCAATTATTTGTTGCTCCAATATAATTTCGGTTCAAAATTTGTTCATCTAACTCATATCGCTTTTTGCTATATTTATTATGAAAAAAATAATCAGATTCAACCATTTCAATCGAAAAAAATCAAAATCTTCGTGTATTATAGAATAATTAGAAATTGAACCCCACGTTGAATTAATTGAATTGGTTGAGGGACGGGGTCCAAAGGATATGACCCATCGAACGTATGTTTATAGAAATAAAGAAGTCACTATGCTTTCAAAATTTAAATACGGATGCTTAAGGCCATCTAATTTCTACTCATATAGAACGATATGATTAAATTTATGCTAATAATTAGTCGTTTGTGGTCGAAAAAAATATATGAACGATGTTTCAAGCCCTTTTCACGAGCAAGATATTTTTAAATGAAATATCTTTTAATAAGTATTTTTTAAAAATTATATATTTTAAAAATTTTTCCTTTATCTACATAATGCCATACTTATCCTTCGATTAATTGTTTTCTTAACCAAAAAAAAAAAAAAGAAATCAAATCCTAATTTCCTTTTGCGTCATATAAATGTCTCTTTTATACTGAAATTCCCCATTTCATACTCTCATGGCTGAAATCCCAAATCAGATTCAACGATCCACGGCCTGTTCTTCAACAATTTTGGTATTTCAAATTGATTTTACCTTCAGTTTCATTGCAGCTACGGCCAGAAGATCGTACTACTGATTACATTTGGAATCATCTTAGTCAATTTTTGGTATATTCGTTGCTATTATGAAGGATTTTCCTTCTTGTTTCGGTGAAAATGGCGTCCAAATTGCAGATTCTTCTTCTTCTTCTTCATCTTCATCGTCTTCGAGTATCAGTAAAGCCGCTCAAAATCTAGTCACCTGCGTCTACCAGTGCAAATCACGCGGCCGATTGTGCTTCATCGTTCTAACATGGACCAAGCATTTGATGGGACAAGGTTTCTCTCTTCAGATCGAAAACTCTGCAAATCAATGCCTGTGTAAGCTCGACATTAAGCCATGGCTGTTCTTAAAGAAGAAAGGATCCAAGATTTTCGAGATCGAATCGAGAAAAATGGAGATACATTGGGACTTAACAAACGCCAAATTCGGCAGCGGACCGGAGCCAGAGGAAGGATTCTTCGTCGCCGTGGTGTTCGATCGAGAGCTCATATTCCGAGTCGGCGATTCGCCGTCCGAATCTACCAAGAAAATCGCCGCGGTTTCCGCCGCGGCGGCGGTGTTCGTGGCGAGAAGAGAACACGTGTTCGGGAAGAAATTGTTCTACGCGAAGGCTCGATTCAGCGAGAAAGGGGAAACGCACAATGTGTCGATCGAATGCGATAGTGGAGGATTGAAGGAACCGAGTTTGGTGATTCGAATCGACAGCAAGACGGCGATGCAAATCAAGAGGCTGAAATGGAAGTTTAGAGGGAATGATACGATTGTGGTGGACGGAATTCCAGTGCAGGTGATGTGGGATGTTCATAATTGGCTGTTTGGGAATTCCGCCATGAGTAGTAGTGCTGTGTTCATGTTTCAAACGCACAAGAACAGTGGAAACCATACCCAATCGTCGCTGTTAAATTCTTCGTCTTCTTCATCATCATCATCCCATGAACAACAAATTAAAGACTCAAAGTTGCAGAGTATGGATTTCTCCTTGATTTTATATGCTTGGAGGAATGAATGAATCAACCACTGCTTAACCAAGTGGCCTTCAAAATTTTCTTTCCGTATAGATTCTTGTAAACCTTAATTATACAATTAAGCTATAAATTATTACTTACTGCTTTTCACATTTAATAGTAAAAATTAAACCTGTAAATACATATATATATATTGAGAGAATACGAAATAAAAAAAACTCAGGTATATATATATATATATTTTTTAATTATATAATTAGATTTCTATCCACTAATTGGTTAAATATACACGTATTATATTACAAATATAATTTTAAATTAAATAAAAATATTAAACAATTATGACATGTAATTTTTTTAATTTTGATTTATGTATCCAAAATTGGTAAAACAAATATTTACTTCTAAACATTAATTATTTCATCATTTAAAACTCACATACTTGATATATATATACATATACTCATAAAACAGTATTTGCCATCCATGGTTGTAATTAGTTTTAATTATCAATTTTAAAAATGAGAAATAAAAAAAATAATTAATGAAATAAAATATTCCAAGGGCAAAAATATCAAGAGAGTGCCCTTGGAATCTTGATCCTTAACTTTCCCACTTCATTTCTTTTTTTTTTTCAATTCTTTTAAATTATATATATATATATATATATATTTTAAATGGAAGACTTATGTATTTAATACTATGTTTTTATAATATTTAAATTGAACAATACATGTAATGTTAAAATTTAAATTAGAATTCAAAATTCTAATTATATATTTTTATTAAAATATTAAAAAATCTCTCAATGAAAATTACATTAAAAATTACTCATTTAAACATATAGTTTTTTAAAATTATATTCTTTTTTTGTTGAAATTGTCGTTTAAAAAAAACAACATAAAATAATTAACTCATAAACACTAAAAAACAAAAAGACCCCGGCTTCAATAATAACAATTGCGCCAAATGAAGGTGCAATCAATCAAGGGAAGAGAAAGAGGTTGGCCAGCAGCAACCACCTTACCAAGATTTGATTTGCTCTTTCAATAAACCACCAAAGGATACAAGAAAGGAGAGCAATGCCACAATTTGAACTGCTGCTGATGCATACAAAATGTTATCAATTAGAAGAGTAACTTCCAACAACTCCTATCGCGTGGGATCGGCGTACAAACGCTACAAAAGCTATAACAAAATTTACATTCATGCCAGATTAACATCATCAAGAACTAGAGCTCTCTACGAAACATCGACGGTACGTGCTCGATCATCTACGATATAATAACAAGGGAAAGGGATAGGGTACCAAATCTCCCATCTTCTCCTCCTCTTATTCTTGTAATTCCTCTTCTAGAGAAAGGGTTGAAAGGAAGGAGGGTACCTGGATATAGCTTTTGGTTGTATCTCAGTAAATAAATGGGGATGTCAAGTCAACCAGTCTACTGGTTCAAAATTTTCCAATCTCAGTAAAAATCCAAGCACCAATCACAGATTGTAATGCGTGAAGGCTCCTCCCTGCATGGAAAACTAAAGGTTAGAATACAAATTTAAACTCGAAAGTTCAATGGTCGTATTTAGTCCCTATACTTCAAAAAGTTGTGGTAATAACCCATGACTTTTATAATTTTATGTACTCCCAACCGTTAACTAAATGATGATTGTACATAACTATCGCGTTAAATAAATGATGACATGAGATATGATATGCCTATATGTTAACATCGACTAATCCAACACGTCGACAACAAAGGCAGGTTTATTGTGGGAGAGAACGAGGTGGTATTGACTGTTTCCTGCAACACAATACCAAACTAGAATTGTGGACGCATTTTGGACAAATTCTATACCACTATACTTATATTCAAGTGTATGTGTGCATTTGGAAGAATGGAGAAGAGAGTCTCTTTACCGAATTCATTTGGTTGCTGCAACTACCAGCGCTTGCTTATAACTTCTCCTCCTACAGGGCAAGAAAATCCACCTCGTCTGAGCTCTCCTCAAATATTACATAGCTGGCATCTCGGCCATCCTCATTGCCACTACCTTGATCACTATTATAGCTGCTTTCTGAAGAACTTATAAACATCGAATCAGATGTTTGATTGCTCAGCTGTGACTGCAGGCTAATATCACTGTTTATTTCGCTTTCCAGCATCTGTTCAATTTCGAAGTAACTGCAAAGAGATCCCAAAGCAAAACAGAAAAGAAATACACAATTAGAAATGCTTGAAGGAAGTCAACCATAAACTTCTAAAGGAGAGATGACAGGGACCGGAATATGAATAGAAAATTTTGAGAAAATGTTGATTCTTATTAATTTGGAAAAGGAAAATTACAAGGAGTTCTTACACATTTATTTGGCTTCCATAATCTGCCTAATCACTATCCCAATAACTCACTCTTTAATATAACAAAACCAAACTAACCAATTAGTATGATTATTAGACTCTCAAATCCGAACATTGCTCCCCCCCCCCCCCCCAAAAAAAAAAACACATCTTGTTGTAGCTCTTGTAGAACACTAAAAGCGAAGAAGCCTTAGTTTGACGGTACCAGTATCCGTAACATACCACCCAAAGTCAATATCTAGTGTCGAAACAGATCCGAAGTATATATACCAGTATACCCCCATACCCATTCCTCCAAAATACTTCTACTTTTTCATTTTTTCCCAACACAATTGATTTACCGGCCAATATGTACCTAAAGTATGCTGGATCTAAGCAATTCTGAATTGCTCCTGCAATAATTCCCATACTTAGCTCCAATTTCACCAAACTTCACTCCAATATTGCCAGAATTGAGAGGACTATCATACCATCCCTAACCTTAATTATATCAACAATGAAGTGTTCTGCCCGTTATGATGTGGCTTAACTACTTTGTTTTCCTTCTTTGAACAAGCTGTTTTATTTCATACTTGGCCCAGCTGCATTTTTAGTTGGCCATTAATCAGTTGGGAGTTTCACATTGGCAGTATTTTGGTTTACAGCACCTTACCCTTTTGTATTCATCCCTCAAGCCACCAAAAATGTATCAGTAAAACCTAGCTGCTCGATTCATTAAAATTTCATCTCTCTGAAATCCAGAAGCCTGTCCAAAACTATTCTGAAAACAAGAAAGTCAGTTCTTTTCTTGGAGAAAGCATTTTGTTTAGGTCAAGCTTAAGTCTTCTTAACGGTGTTCTTTGTTTGATAATTATGCATTTAACGATATTGTTTGCTTGGGTTGCATTCGTTTTCTCTTACTAGCTTCATTTTCTGGTTTCCCTCTTTCAATGGGAGTATCTTGAACAAATTTTGCTTCTTTTCATCAATCAAATGAAAATTTAGTTGCTTGTTTAAAAAAAAATGTAAAAGAAAAAAAAAAGGGTTAGTAGATAATAGAAACTCAGCTCTCTACCAAAACGCTAACAAATTCTGCCTTAATCCATTTCCACTTCATCAATATATCTGCTTTCTAGTAACAAACTCACCAATAAATATGACTATTATACCCTCAACAACAATCCTAACCAGTGATTACCTCCCTTCTGATGGAAAATCAGCCAGCAAGCATAAATCAGGCCTTTCCTTCATTACTTGCTCAATTGGAATGATCCTGTCCATTAAAATGGTCAATAAGAACCAGTTGATGAAATCTCAGTACCGTAGAAGCCTAGACCCATATTTTCTTAATTAAGAGGACGATAACTAAATGGTTAAAACTATAACCAAAAGGAAGGATGAAAGTTGACTTTCAGGGGAAAATCCAAACAAATATTGAACCTTGTAGAGAGGTTTTTTTAAAAGAAATATCACCTTGAATTGTAGCATCTCTCATACCAATCACCCTCAGATGCCAATCCTTCCCTGTTGGACATATCCTGTTTGATGAATATGGTATTATTCAATTAAATGACATTTTGAACCTTTAACCAGATATTCAGAAGAAAATCATTGTCAATTTCCATCTACTCACAAGATGTCGAAGAAACTTGAAATCTCCAGCAAGTAATGATGTCATGAAACGAGCAACTTCCACCTGCATGCGAAGAAATTAAAGGCTTATGACAATGTTTGGGAAATGAGGTGTCAAAATAATAAATGATCCTGACCTCTTTGAGATGCATACAATCTCTTAAAATTAAGACCTCCAATAAATTACCACCTATACTGTTGCCAAGGTTTCTGAGGAAAACAAAGATGTTCTTTTTAACTATTCAAAGCATCAAAAAAATTATTATAGATAGGAACAATCCAAAGAGGATAGTTACCTAAGAAAGCTTCCAGTAATTGAGTAAGACGTTGAAAAGTCAACATATTTTAGCTTCCGAAGTCCCTGGAAAAGTATTCAAAGAGATAAGTTCACTGAGATTAAAAATTCCAGAGTTACACGATACAAGAGTATTTGAAACAACCATCACCAACAATGGCCAAAAGAGGTCATGAAAGAACCAACCTACACAAGCAAATCAGCTATACACGTGATGTTTTTTTATGGACGACAATGACACAAGGAACCACATGATTAAGAGTTCCAATTGTCTACTGGGCTCCTGAGAGTAGTGTTGATTTCTCGGATTAGTTTCCATTGTCCAAGCTTTGTGAGGAACAGGGGTCTCCCGGTTCAGGTTTAGTTAAGGAAATTTGGAAAGCTAGAGGTCCTCTTTTCCTCGGTCGTTGCTCAAGATCAGCTAGGCACCTAAAATAGAGTTCCAATAAGGTTTCCCCATTGTGCCCTCTACCCTGACTGGCGCACTCTTAGTCAAAACAATTCAGATGATAAAAAACACCTTTTCTTTTCAATGCTCCTTAACAGCTGATTGATGAAGAAACATTTTTCATCTTTTCAACATGTGCTGATGCTTCCCTAAGAATAGTAGTATGATTCTCAATCAATTCTTATACGGGCAGCCTTCCGAAGAGAAGGCTAATATCATTTATCATTTGGTCCAATGACATTATGGCAATCCTATGGCGGCTTTCTGTTCTTTTTGGAAGAAATCCTGTGGAGGCTTTGATTAGAAAATCCAAGAATTTTTCAAGTAGCTTCCAATGGTCATGAGTTGAAGGGATCTAATTAGATTTTTCTTGATCTCTTAGTTCCTTTTTCAATGAATTCCGCAATAACAAGTTCTAGCAGATTTTTGCCAACTTGGAATTTGTGGGGGGCTCCTCGTCTCCCTTTTTTCATAAAATAATATAAATTTCAATTCCTATAAAAATATTTTTAAGAAAGCCTTCGCCTAAATTTGAAAGATCTTCTTACTATTGCCTTTAATTTATTTTCAATACCTTCTCCAGAATTATGATCGAAGACTCAAAACCATTTTTATAATTGAATCATCAAACAATGCAGAATAAAGTACTAAAGACAATATCATAACCATAAGACTAACATGAAAGAAAATAGAGCTCAATACTAGCCACATTTCAAACCCCCATGCCCCATACTAAGTGCACCAGTATGATCCAAAAGCATTGACACAAATACACATCATGGATTGGACAAAGCTTAAAACACGTAAAACTCTATTCTTCGTTTGTTCCATTTTTCTAGAAAGAAATAATTTTAATTAATATGTGAAAATGATTAGAAAAAGAAGGGAGAAATAAAAGATCTAAACACAAAATTTGTAACATTTTTAGAGATCTAGACATGAAAATTCTGATTTCTTAAATGCTTTTGTGCCAATTTGAAAAAAGAAGGGCAATGTCTTTCTCTCACCATGCAAGGTGCTTTTCTCTTTCACAACCCCCACAATAGAACATTAGTCCAAGTATGATAAAAGGAGGAGAAGACAGGATGTCAAGTTGAAGAATCCACTACCAACAGAAAATATGTGATAAGAGCCAAATGAGTGGGTACAAGAAAATTGCAATTATCCTATGAGATGGAACACCAAATATTCCAGTGAAAAAACTAGGTAAATGAAAAGCAAAACAACTTATTTAGATTACCTATTATATTTTTTTAAAAAAATTAATGTTCTACATGGCATACTTCAAAGATAACGTCCTAAATTCAGAATAATTAGGCATAGAAGTAGTTAAATTCTTAGTTAAATATTGTTGCAATATATGAATCTAAAATCAGAAAAGGAAATGGTTTTGTATGTATGCATCACCAAATTCCTTGTAAATGCAGACATTACCTTAAGAAGAATGCGAACTTTATAATCATGGAGTTTAAATCCTCTAAGGGCTAAAGACACTAAACGAGGACACTTTTGAACTAGATCAACACATGTCGGTGATTTCAAGCTATCATCTCTGCCTGTCATTTGCAAAATAGCAATGAATAAGCGGATGGCTGGAAAGAATAAAACGAGGATATCAAGTGAGATAGATGTTAAACCTGTTTTTGAGGATTCAAAGAACAAACGCTCTATAAATTGACAGTTTTCAATCACAGATGTCAATGTCTGTCTCAACTCCACATGACTGTTCAATAAAGGATGTGGATTATTAACTACGATTCATAAATCAGAGTAACCCAAATGAGAGGGCATGAAAAAGAAGCAGCGAATGAATTTAATTTTCATAGAGAGCATTTTCTCCAAAATATGTTAGCAATTACCATGTCCTTAACCGAACATTAAATCTTAAGAAGAAGAAAACATACCATCATCCAGTTAAAAGCACCATACACCGAGATGGGTCAAGAACCTATTGGGGGGAAATGATTGCTATAATTGTTTATTAAAAAACAGAGTTTATTGAAGAGAATTTTTTTTAATGAATTAACTATTGAAAAATGACAAGAACAAGTGTGAAGAATAAGAGATATCAAGAGAAAAGGTGAGATGCGTCAGGGCAGGAATTAAAGAAATCTTAGTCCTGTATTTTTACTAAAGGTTGAATCTGAGTCACAGTTCACCAGTATAAACATTTTAAACAAAAATATCATTTTCCAGTTAAAACTATTAAAAAAACAACAAAATCAGTCAACTAAAGAAACTTACAGGCCCACAATTTCCAGATCAAGGAGAGACGGGCAAGCAGATAATGCAGCACGTAGTGATGGATTATCCATTCTTTCAATATTGTAAAGATGCAACGTTCTCAAGAGCATCCTATAAAATTTAACAATTCAGAAACAGGACTCACAATGAGCACATTCTCAACTTCAAAAGTAAGCCCATACCCAGGAGTACTGGCCCCACCCAAAGGGCTTAAGCAGGATCTTGTGAGAACTGATGACTCCTTCCCTTGTCTGGATCTTTTGTCATTCCATGAAAAACTAGTAACATTGTAAACCAACGGTTGGCAAGAACCTAGGGATGCAGTTGGGCCAGGAACTATACCAAGCTTAAGAGATCTGAAATTATTGAGGGGAAAAGAATAGCCAAGTCAATCAAAGCTTAGAAAAATATAAATAATGCAATCAAAGTTTTCCCATCAGAGAGTACTAAGGAATTACTGTTGGCATTGATGTTCAATGAACTTAGTTCATATGCCTGTGCAAGCATCTAGAATAGACGAGGTTGGTAAATAATGCAAACTAACATTATAAAATTAATCATATGGGTGGGGAAATTCAGACTTCTTTGTCATTTAATAAGTGAAAAGAACAGAATTTGAATAATGTCAGACCACAGAGGGAATAATTTACCATCTTCCCCAGACACTAACATTATGAAAGAGATGGTGGGTGACACCAAGATTAGGAAAGACAAAATTCCTTGCCTCAGCTTAGACAGTCAGCATCATCCATACTTGGGTAGAGAATAGTAAAAAATGTCTAATGCAAAATGTATAACTATGTTGGCCGAAAGACACAATTCAAAGACCTCATCAGTACATCGCTAATGAGCTTAATCAAGTATGAATCCTTCTGTTTCAGATCCTCAATGTATATATAACCGCATTCAAATTCAGCCTATGAAGATTTGATAGTGAACTTTTAAAAGAAAATATCTTACTGAAGAGAGTTTCCAGCTCGATGAATCATTGTAGAAACCACTGCATTATTAACTCTTGGAGAAACTGTTGTTAAGTCAATGTTGGCATAGCAGGAAGGATCCATTGCACACTTGTGAAACATTGAACAAGTAGCTGTTGCATAGCAAAGACTCTGTGCGTCAAGCATGGAAAAAACCTGAAAAGCCACAGTTCATCGTCATGCACACCATAAAAACCCAACATATTTTCATCAACCGTTACGGATGTTAGAGCACAAAACGGAACCAACCATAAATAACATGATGATGAGTTGAAGAGGGTCAGCCTAGTAATAATGACTTCCCATCTCGAAACGAACGAATTATAAGCATGGTCTTCGGTTAACGCAGCCCCTAATACCGGCGGTAGCTCTGCCTCATGGGGACAATACTCTAACCTCGACTGAAAAATACCTTTGATGTCTTAACCTAACAGCTCGATTACGCCCATACAAAAATATGAACTAAACTACGCATATTATCTCTACCTATTGCCAATGAACACATAGGACTAGGGCTGGGAAAATTATATTCACATCATCACCAAACTAACATCACACTCTCAAAGACATTCCTGACTGCAAGCTTGCTTCGAGTTCGCTCAAATTCCAACAGAAAACAATTTAAGCACATTCGACATTGGACACAACAAAATCAAACAATGAAAATCATATATTAAAATAATCCAAATTCAATATTCAAGAACAAGAGCACTCATTTCCAAAACCGATAAATCCAATGCAATTCCAAGCCGCAGCACAGTTGAAACGATTTCAAATGTTCCGACAACGAAAGAAGAATCAAAGACAAACATACTTTGATGGTGAGGTCAGGAGGAAGAGCCCAAACGACAGAGTTATGCTTGGTAGCTCGTTTCCGAGCAGAGCGTTTGCTTGCCTCGAGCAAGAAGTTGCCCATTTTAAGAGCGCGATCGATGAGGCGAGACTGATCCAAGTCAGATGGCAAGGAGTCGAGAAGCCTCTCGAATGAGAAGTCGATACAGATGGAAGGGGAGTCGGAAAGGCCCAAAAAGGCATCGAGAAGAAGGTCCATCTGAGTAAAGGTCGGTATCCTAGGGTTTTGGGATGTGCACGGGCGCTTCGCCATGGTTGATGGTGCCGAGGTTTGGACTTGAAAGAGAGCATCCATAGCATCAGCGGGTGGACACGGGAGAGAGCAGAGGGAAAAGAGAGGAAGGAGAAGTAGGAATAGGGACGAGCCTGTGAGTGCCACGTGTCAGTGTGAGTTTTGGAATAAGGGCTGAGAAAGTAGGTAGCATGGAAAAAACGTGATACTTTGGGTGAGATCATCCAAAGACTTGGCTTCTGAGCTTTTGTTCTTTCTTTTTAATATATAGTTTTTGTGGGGGAAACCAGAAAAATAATGAATATTAAATAAATAAATTCTTTAAAATTAGGAACATGACGTCACTTCGTTTTTTATCTTTTTTTTTTTTTTTTTTTTTTTTTTTTTTTTTTGGTTTTTTCGAAAGTACAAAAAATATTTATATTTATGAGGTAATTAGATTTGGCGCCCACATTATGCCACGTGGGGATACAGTTGATGCGCAGTTTCTCTTTTCCATACTTTCATGGAAACCACTTTTAGCCGTCCAAAAACATTATTTTAACGCTAAAAAATCATTTTTTTAAAAATATTTCTTAAATTAATAAAAATACTTTATACAAGTTTTAAAAATTTAAATACCACCTGCAACTTTTTAAAATATCTAAAATATATCCTTATATTTTAAAAAAATTAAAAATTATTTTATATGTTGAAAATTCTATAATCCTTTAGTGTTTTATTTAAAATAATTAAATAATGTTAGATGATCTAATTTAGGAATAATCATGTGTTTATAAATAAACACGTAAAGTTTGATTTAGGGAATGATCATAAGTTTATAAACAAAAAATTGTAAATAGTGTTAGATGATCTAATTTAGAGAATGATCATAAATTTATAAACAAAAATACTCTCTCCTTTAGTATGAGATCTAGAGAAGTCCAAAGTAAAGTCACGAGAGGGACAATATCATACCATTGTGGAGAGTCGTGTTGAGAGGGGCAATATCATACCATTGTGGAGAATCGGGTTCGTCTAACAAATAATGGCTCAATTTCATTCATTTGTTTAGATGAAATATTTTTAAAAATAAAATCAATTTTCTAAATAATAAAAAAATATGTAATTCAAATATTTTATGAAAGAAAATATAAAAATTATTGTAAAATATAAATAGAATATTAAAATAAATCCGACACCTGGTGCTTACGTGTATATTCTCGTAATTATTCGGCAGGTCCTTCTCAGTCTATTCCGCTCTCATTTTCCTTCCCAATATTCGATCATTATTTTTTAATTAAATAAATGCACAAAAAACAATATATGAATTTAAAATTTAAATTTTTTGTACTATGCACTTTTAAAAAGTAATAAATATATTAAGAATTTTATGCACGAAATTAAAAATTACAGATTTATCAAATATTTTTTTAAATTAAAAGAAAACACCTTTCAGTTGGGAATCCACTACAGTGATAGTGACTTTATTTATTCCTGCTGCACTTGTCTTGTCATCCTACTCAACAAAATAGAAGGTTCTAAAGCACTGTTCCATAATTTAAGAACGTTGAAAGACTTCAAAATCTCAATCAGTATTCAGATATCATACAGATTACAGACACAGAATAGCAGCTAGGAGAGGTTCTTCTTACCAGGTAGCGATCTTCTGGGGCGAATGTGTTTTGAACCACTTCGTTGGGAACACGCTGCTTGCCTCGTCCAGATTCTTTTCTGCTAGCAGGGACTGCAGGTCCAACTGTTCACAAAGCTCTTGAATTCTATGGCCTGAAAACACTGTCGACAAATCGTCGTCAACGTTTTGATAGAAAGTATTTGGCCGTCGATAGACTTAAATCTCAAACAGTAATCAGAAATTGGCTCAATGACTACCAAACTATGCTGAGGAGATTTAGATTTATATATCATAAGGACTGTAAAGAATGGCAGCCAGGAGAGGATATTGTAACTTGCTTAGCTATCTTCGGGGGCGGGCATGATTCGTAGCCGTTCATCAGATCCCTGCTTGCCTCCTCCAGAGACTCTCTCTTCGGCTAGCAGGGACTGCAGGTCGCTACCATTTGCCAAGCTGTTAAATTCTACTGCCTTGGATGGCATTGTTGGATAGCGCCGTTGACAAAATGTCATCAATCTCTTGATTGATTGTAAGTATTTCCTTGTTGTTTCGTCATTCATGATATGGGCCACACTGTTGGTGTAAATCTTCTCACGAGCTGAACGTTCGTGAATACCAACCATAGTGACACCAATAGGCCAGGGGGCATTTCCAATAGCCATCTTAATGTATTGATCCATGGCAGCTAGATAGTCTCGCTTCATGCAGCATTCAACAACTACCAACAATGCTTGCCGAATATCATCGGGAAGAACCTAAAATCAAATTGTAATAACGTTAATGAAAATTATCTGCTAAAAAGGAAATCTTACAAGATACTCAATTGAGAAGCTATAATCTCCGATCTCTTGGTTGAATGTATATGACTTGAGTAATTGAGTTATGCTTGGTTGACCCAATAAGTTGTTAACTTGTATCATACAATTCATCGCCAATTAGGACGAGGCAGTCACCTTCACACAACAGTCAGCAACCATCTAAACAGCTGACCATAGTCCTACGCTGTAATCGTAAAAAAGCCGATCTGATAAATGAAGTAATGGTTTAGCGTCAGTATCTACTTCTCAACACACTTCTAAAGATGATTACCAATGGTGACCTATTGTCAATTAAAAAGATTTAATCTCCAATAGGATCGAAGTGTCGATTGGAATGACATTCCTACAAACTTTTGGATGGGTAATGATCCTCTGTCTCAAACTGGAACCTCTCTACTTGAATTTAAGACACCCTGATTTTAGATTTATTATTTTTTTTTTTCCCCTCATTTTTTTGGATCTGAAACTGAAGAGTTGGTCTCTCTCCCATATCTACTTAGTGTTCTTCCAATAAATGAAATTGGCCGTTTGATCGTACAGGGTTTTCTCCCCTCCTCTTGCAACTCCTTACTCAAGGATACAGTGAATGTATGATTCCAAAGAACCCCAATCTTTACAAGGTGATATGTCACTTGAAATATATCAAAAGGAAGTTGAGCTTTTCTTGTGGGAGCTCTCTCGTGAGAGTATTAAGACTAACAGAACTAATCAAAAAATAATTCCAAATTGGTGCCTTTCCCAAGACCAATTGAAATGCAAAATGTATCAATGAGTTTAAGATTAATCATATGCATGCTTATTCTATGTAGCCATCACTAACAAAACAGGAAAATTTCGTCCCTGGTATCTGTTTAGGCCACTAACATCACTGTATAAATCTACATGCTCGCAGGGGAACCTTTTCACCAGAGCACTAGCAGAGCAAACGAAATAAGAAAGAAAAAGAAGGAAAAGATGCTCTGGTTATTCTCGAGCCTACCATGATGTCTAAAGATATAGTGATGCAGAATCATCACGAGAAAGAAACATTCAGCAAATCGACTGTGAAATTAAAGGGGGCAAAAATTGTACCTTCTTCCTACAAAACTTGAACAGAGGATGCAAATAACGAGCACACTGCTTGAATGTTGCTACCATAGACTTCCCTTTGGCTGTCCGCTTCTCTGCTTCAGGCATTTCATCCAACTCCTGGTTCCACTCGTTCAACAACCTCTTAAAAAACACCAATATCTTATCTTCCTCACATAACTCATCAAAATTGGCTTTGATTCTCTTCAAATCTTTGTCAGCGTCGACGCCACTCGAACCCCCATCGGCACTATCTTCATCAGCCCCACCTCCATCTCCCTCTTCCCCAGCACCATCCTCCTTCTTCTGCCTCTTCCTCTCGCTCAAAATCCCCGTCTTCTGCCGCTTCCTTAACTCCGCAATATCCCGAAGAAAATCGTTGGTTTGTCCCTCGGTCAAATCACTATCCACCTCGAAAAGCCCCGCTTTCAACACAAACTTCAAACGGTCGAGCCGAGCATCGTCATCTTCCCCGAAAAGCGTAATGGGCTGTTTCAGAAACCGGAGTCTCCGAATCACTTCCTGTCTGGTAAGGACGAGATTGTCGATGTTCTGCTCGTCCGTTAGGGATTTCGAAGTGGTGGCGGTAGAATTGATTGCAGCAGAGGAGGAAGTAGTGGAGGCCGAGGCTAATGAATTGGATTTGGAAGATGCGGAGGTGGCCTCGGCGTTGGGAGAGGAGGTGGAGGATTGGCGAAGAGCTTTAGCTTCCAATTCGCGCTTCTCTTTCTCTCGCAGCTGCTGGATTTGCTTCTGTTCGATCTCGGATCGCTTGAAGACGCGCTTGCCGCCGGTTTCAGTAGCTAGGGCTTGACGTTTCTTGAGAAGTTCTTGCTTGAGGAGATCCATTGATTCTGTTCTGGTTCTATCTCGCCGGAATCTCTGTTAGGGCTTACTTCCGTAATCTAATTAGACGAGAGGAACACAATTTCTTCATGATTTGTTCCTCTAGCTTGAGCTTCAATTATGAATGTGAATTACATTTTAGTCCCTACTTTTAAACATAATTACATTTTATATTCCCGCCCAAAATATTTAACACTCACTTAAATTATAGTTTTTTTTAAAAAAAAAAAATTATTATCATGATAAAAACAAATAAATAAATAAATATATATAATGTGAAAGACTTGTAATATTGAAATTTACTTTTGCTGGATTTATTTAGATGTTTTATAATTTTAATAAAATTTATATTGAAAATTGTAATTACACATTAAAAAATTATTTGAAATAAATATATTTTTTAAATAAGGCCTACGAAGGGAGGACTAGAATGGAATTTCACGTCCAAAACTGCACACTCTTTTGTATGGGCTTTTGGCCCATTTCAACAACAAAATCCTCTCTGGTGAAGAAGAAAGGTAGAACAGAGCATTTACGGACACAGGGCGAGAGAAAAATCGATGACGACGTTACGCAGATTTTGCTGCAATGATCTGCTTCGATTCACTTCCGTCAATCTCGATCACCTCACGGAAACCGTAAATTTTCTCTGTTTCAATTTCAGCTTCTGATTTGAAAATGGTTTTCCGGTTTCTAAATGCACTCTGAATCTTGTCGATGTTGATGCAATCTTCTTTGGCTTTTCTTTTTTGCAGTTCAACATGTCCTTCTATATGACCTACTTGGCAAGATGGCCTGATTACTTCCATGTCGCAGAGGCCCCTGGGAACCGCATAATGGGTTACAGTGAGTCGCTATTAGTTTGTTTA